AACCAGCTACCCACTGAAGTATTTCTGAACCAACTGGACTTAGGGTCATTCAAGATAATAGCGTACCAAGTTTCAAAAGGCCGGCAACGCATAGGGGATCCCTCTGGCATTAAGGGTGTCCATGGGTGGCGGTATTGCTTATTAATAGGTAACCTACCCGTTTTCTATAAACAAAAAAAACTTCCGTGTAATTTTTAATAAGGCGTTTTCGCAATCTTGATCCTTAAATATATCAAGTCTCAATTTCTCAAAAAGGTGACTTTACGTAAGAAATCGTTCTAGCATTATACGTTGGCTAACATCTAGTATATAATAATTAAAAACGGCAAAATGGGCAAGAATAATCTCATAAAGGGCCATTAATAAAACGAAATAGACCTAAGCTGCAATTAGACGCATTTGACCAAGCGTAGAGATGAGCTCTCAAGTGAATTCGGCAATCGAAATTAACCGCCCATGTCGGGTGTGAAGTGTTGCTATAGGCTTCTATAACACTATTGGCATTTCCGGTCAAATCAATCAGTGATGTACTTAAATATATTTTTCGTAGCTAGTCCCTTTATAGGGAATTTTACTGGTAAGGCAAAGTGATAGAGATCAGTGATGGAAATTGATTGCAAAACGAACCTTGTCTGAACCTGGAATGTTTACACCCCTGAGGGTTCTTTACAGAAGTATGGGTGGACTAAAAAGCTTTAGGTTTAAAGGACTTTTGTTATATCTGGGAGGAACTAAAAAATTTCCGATGAAATAAATTCGTTGCGTAAAAGGCAGACAGGGTCGAGGGGATCAAGTGTAGGTTATGTATCGACATTTCCAGCCCTCTTTCTTAAGGATAACGTATAAGTCTTAGTTCAGCTGAAGTTATTAATAACATTTATATAATTTACATTACCATTAAAACTTGTAGGAAAATCTAGTTACAATTCCTTATTGTTTTATTTGGACAACACATGATATATCCCTATCATATTTAATAAACCTAACATGGTAAAGAAACGCTCGCAAAATATTTTCCGAGTCACATTTTTAGTAGAAATATACATAAGCTTTAAAAACTTGGTGGTGGAAAACCGTTGGCTACACAGCACAGCGATCCCGAATTGCTCTTAACTTATAAGTCACATATCGGAGAGAGGGGTTTAAAAAAAAACTCCAGCTGAGTTTAATATATAATAAATTTTTTAGAGACTTCAGAAGGGACATTATAATATTGATGAAATAATGACGACGATAAAATCGTAATGACGTGCCAATCACGTTGCAATGAAGCTGCTATAAATAGCTTACGGCGTCTACGCACTTGGTCTCGAGATTGTTGTACTTTCAAGGCAATGGAAATCCGCAACTTGAAGAATGTTTGAGAATTGTTGCCAGACATGAGGAACAGATTGGACTGCTATATACGACCACTGTTTATATTTACTAACGATTTTAAGTCATAATGTTGACACATAATCTACTAAATACAATTTTATTCACGCATATGTAAATCTAATGTAATGTAACCTTTATTGTTATTCATTACTAACCAGAACGAAAATGTGTTATGTAATTTTTGTATCATGTTGTTCTTAGGGCGAATTAAAAGAGAAATAGAAAACTTATGTGCTTATGACATTCTTCAAGATTAGGTAACTATAATGTTTTGAATAATTATTTAAAGGATGATTTTATTTTGAGGAATTTTCATCATGTTATTTTGAGCAATTTTCATCATGTTATTTAGCGACTATATGTCAATAGCGTGCCCCCTACCTCAGGGATCAAGTGTATTAGATTTAGGTTTACTTTTATTTAATTAAATAATTAATTACAATTAATTGTAAAATTCTGTTAGTATTTAAGATAAAAGAAATTGTAGTTTGAACAATATATACGTACATATAATTTTATTGGTACAGTAAGTTTCTTAATGTATATTTAATACGTCATTTAAATATCAACAGGTGCACTGAAACTAGTTGTGACGTTTCACTTTTGGTAAATTCGTAAGTTTTGCAGACCTATTTGGATGATTAATGGAATCTCCATCGTAACATCTGGTAAAGGCATAATGCCAACTAACTTGTTTATGTATGGCGCTTCCGGTGACGTCGCACGCATACGTTGATCACACAATTATTTTATTAAATGAAGCTGTTTTGAATTATTATTAAAATAGATTTTAATCCAAAAAAAAATCAACTTTGCTGAGTGGGTCCGACTACTTATAATTAATTCGTTTCACTCAAAAGTAATAGTAATTTCCTATAATGCTAGTATATGTATACGGAGATATATACAATAATTGTTATAATAATATCCTTTAAGGGCATTCAATGCCCTTATGGGTCTACTGTACCTATCAAAATTGGTAAGCTAAATGATATACTTAAACTTGTACCCTTTTTAAAGAAACAAAATGCTGTCAATTATTATTAAAACCTCAAGGGCGACTCAACTAATAATACAAATTCTGATGCTGATAATGATTATGGGAAATAAGGACCCAAAAATGTTGTAAAAAAATTTAAAATAAATAGGTTTTTGTAATTTTGTATTGTTTTATTTTATACCATCCATGATTTTACATTGATTTCCAATTATATTCATTATTAAAAAAGGAAGTTTGTAGATATAATAGAAAATATGAAGTTTTTGTGATCTCCTGAAAAATTTAAATTTTTAATTTCGGGACCTTCTTCCAGACGCCGCAATTATTGCATGTTTATTTCTGTATATAATTTATATTACTTATTCAGTGTTCATATGTGTTGTTTAGAGGATTTTTTACTTGGTAGAATAGAGCGATGTACAAGTATGAAATTCATAAAGTTGGTACATTTTATACGTATATTTGTAATAAAATGTTTTGCTACTACCAAGCAAGGATAGCAATATCAGGTAACATAGCGAGATTTAAACATTTCTCACCAACACACTAGAACTAATAAATCCGATAAAAGTAAAACAATAACGCGACTTTAGGTCACTGTATATGAGCACTTACACATATTTTCATTAATAAAGAGTACGAGGTTTTATAAGTATTTCTTCTTTTATATATCGAATGATCAAGCAGTGTTGGCATGGTTTTCATCGTGCGACTCTCATCCGTGTGGTCGTAGGTTTGGACCCCGGCTGTGCACAAACCGACTCTATACATATATGTGCGCATTTATCATTCGCTCGTACGGAGAAGGAAATCATTGTTAGGAAAACTAGCAAGCCTGCCAGCTCATTAACTACTTGTATATTAGAATACGTGAAAGGCTGTAGCGACACTGGTTATTTTACCGTTTCTATTTGTTATAATTATAATAATACTAGCTGACCCGGCAAACGTTATTTTGCCATGTATATTATTTCTAGGAAACATGTTTTTAGTTCTATAAAAATAACTATCTACTATAATAATAAATCGGGGTTTTTCGTAGAAGGGTGACAATTAAGGGTTGTATGTATTTTTGTATGCTGTATCATAAAAAAATAAAAACAAATTTTGTCTAAAAAGTAAACTATAAAAATTTAGGGGTGGGGTCACCCATACATTTAGGGGGATGAAAAATAGATATTGTCCGATTCTCAGACTTACTGAATATGCATAAAAAATTTCATAAGAATCGGTCTAGCCGTTTCGGAGGAGTATGGGAACGAACTTTGTAACACGAGAATTTTATATATCAGATAAAAAAAACAAAGACACATTATTGCTACTTGTGTCTAGTCTAGTAATATCTAGTCCCGACACTAGAGACATCCCTATATTGACTGAAAGCAGTGATACATACTTATATTAAATAGTAAATTTATTTTATACAAGGAGAGTTCGAATAGACAATATAATAAATATAGACAATTATATTTGGCTATACTACTTCACTGAAGACACAATATTACGAAATAAAAAAAAATATTATCAAAAATATTTTTTGAATCCATCAGAGATATTAAATATATCTATATTCTGCATGTCGCGCTTCCAACATAGTTAACAAAGCGAGCATGTTTGCGTGGCAACCACAATAATTCCATTTTCGTACAATCTACTTGTGACTCATAATTTAAATTATTTTGCATTCGGCAATCAGAATCGTATTATATTGGCTTTAATGGAAATATAATTATGATGATGAAAACTAATTTAATGAAGCCAATGTAAAATGTAATGTGTATATATATTTTTGATAATCTGAATTGTATTAAGATTTTCAAAGATACTACTAACTTTGTTCTCCTATAGTTATGTACTTTTTGGCAGATGAGATCGACTTTTAAAATAACACGCTGCATACGCTAATGACTGTTTTGTTTTTTAAGAAAATATTTCTATAATGTTATTAAAAAAGGCCCAATATATGTATCAATACCGTGCCACACCACGAAAAATTAAGAAATAAACGTAAGGACAACGTAAGGCGCAGGTACGGAATGTTATCACGACACGAGGGATTGTGTGTGGAGGTTAGGGGGTGGCGGGTGAACTGCTCGCTTTATCCGATACGAAAGGCAGCAGGCTTCATTCGCGCGTCCGGCACAGTCGGAAGGCCACGTCCGCGCTCGGTACGGCCATCTTACGTAACGCTATTTACTCCGACATCTGTTGAGTGCTACGGTCTCAGCGACACGCTTGCTGCTAACATCAGGCACCAATCATGGCCTACACAAAACCTCGCAAATAAGAAACAACGCACTCCAACACCTAGGATATCGTAGAATATTCATCAACTTTACTGCCATTCATCCTGCCAATTATTATTAAGCTTTGCTTTGTGATGTGAAAAGACTGATGAAGAAATGTTCCATGTCCAATTTGAGGAGAAATAATGCAATCGCTAAAGCTGTTGCTGAAGCTTTCACTGCCACCTCAGCCTTACACAAATTTAGACTAAGTTAAACTTAAATTGATATTTGAATCAGGTTCGTGGGGAAGTTTGGAGGTCATTCGAAATTAAAAGTTAAGCAAAATTCGCGAGCTAAGTGCGTGGGTACTGTGGTGGCGTCAGAGACATCTTCGGATGGGCGCACCGCAGACCCTTAAACCATTAGATGATGAATTTGCCCCATGTGTGGAGGTAGTTGATGAAACTCGGGAGGTACAAGAACGCAAGCTGGATCGCCGGAGAGCACAGGCCGGTGGCCCAAGGCGCCGTGGTCTCGACAATGATCTGGAAAGCGAGCGTCGTAGACCTCGACGTAAGCCCAAAAGGTTGGTCTTTCATGTATTATATATTCATCCACTTTGGTATGGAATATACCACCTGGAACCATATTCTAAAAAAATATGTATATCCAAAAAGTATATTTATTAAGTGTATTATTAAATTGGAAACACGCTGCGAAAATTATTATTTAATATTGGAACTAGCGAAAACTTTTGGGAAATAAAATAAGTTATTGTTTTGCGAGCGAATATGCTGAATATATTTTTAGTAACTTCTAATTAAACTAGTTTGTTTGAATATGCATGTCATTGGGTCAGAGGAGAGTTTAATGTTTGAAAACTTAGGATCATTTCAAAAGGTTGACGTGCAAGCGACTTTTTTAATTGTAGAATAGTTTTTTTATTTAAAAATATTATTATAGAATTTTAACTCGATATTATGCGGTATAATATCTAAATACTTAATATTTCATTATCATAATCTCCTGATATCTGTCAAGTAAGGCATAGCATTTCGTGGATATTTTATAGATTTTACGTATATCTAATACGAAACGGTATATTCCGTCTATATAACTATTATTTATAATACGCGTTAAATTAAATATTATTTACATAAATTTCTCGGCGATTCTATTGGTACTCTCAATGTTGAGCGGTCCTCGTTTTACATATATCATTTTTCTTAACGCTTCGAACATATTCGTAATATGTGAAGCGAACTATGTGATTATATTTAAATGCGATGTATCGAATTAAACCAAAAATTTTAATTTATATAAAAGTTATTTAACCAGAGATTGAACAAGGCTGTACAAAATATATTTGTGCAAAAACATCGATCCGCACCAACGTTTGGCGGCGAAACACTTTCACATTTAGTATCAAGGTTAGGATAAGGCAGGCCGAATGGGGTGGCAATTCGTACAGTTTTAGTCCTGCGGTTCTTTTGACATTGGCTATGACCTAAAAAATTTACATATCGATACTATGTGTAGAAACGAAATTTTCTCAAGGCGCAAGCATACCACTTTGGCGTTTATTTAAGACCTGATAACTACAGAAAATATTGAGCATTAATGGTTGATCCCTGTGTATCTGCATAAGGCACTCTCATATATGTTGCGTAAATGGCCAGCGTCAATAGAGATAAGCTGCCGTGGCTCAGGCATTCGAACAACCTTATTAGTATTACGCTCTAACAACAAAAGCTGAGTAAGTTAATATTATTAAAAATAATCACGCGCACACACAAAGAAGGCGCGGCGCGATGCCGTACCAGCCGGGCATATCGCCGATTCCCGAATCGAGATAAAAATAATTTTGCGCGGCGATTTTTTTTAACAAAATCCATGACAAATCTCTAGTTTAATCGCCGATATAACTGTGAATTTTATTCTCATTAGTATTTTTTGTAAATTAATGGCAATTATAAAATTTATTTTTTATACACAACCGTATTTGAAATAGGCGTAATTTACTGCGCAATTCTGATTATTGTAGCTTTAAGTTGTTCTTAATTTTTACCTGAAAATACTATTAAAAGTGATAACTTCACCACGATTGCACAAAAGTTATGTCAATAACCTAATGACGCGTTTATATTAGTGCAAAACTTGATTGAGATTTGAGCATTGTATCGCTTAAGACAGAGACAAAAATTAATTTTAGTTTAATATCTTACGATAAAATTTCAATCTAATCTCTCCGTGGCAAGCACCATTAATGCTAGCAGCATTTAATTTTTTTTAATAATTGCAACTCAGTTATATTTTATTATAAATTAATATTACAAATATTAAACAAGTAATTTAATTAAGCATCATAGCTGCACAAACCTTACCAATTTTATATGCAAAGAAAAAAAATTTCTGGGGTTAATCTAGAATAGAGAATAAAACATTTCTGTTAAACGTAACGTATATATCTAATATTTGTGGTTAAATGAGGACCAGAATCCCGTAATTTGAGCTGATTCGACTAGGGAGTAGTAAAGATTCAGATAATAATAAATATGGGAGACATATTCATCGGGGGGTAAGTGCCTTTCGTTAAATTGCACGCACGAGTCTGATTGAGCTAGATATGCTGTTATATTATACGAGTTTACCATGTCTGTTAGGACCACCAAGGAACAAAACAATATTTATATTTTATTCAATATGCAACCATAAACTCCAGTAACCAAATTAAGCAGCAGGATATTTAAATATTATCACTATAAAAATTATACACGTTAGGGTTATTAATAAGTTATAGTCTGCATTTATAAAACTGACTCAAAAAGCAATTTTTCGTGATGTGCCCTAAAAATTCCCAAACATATATTTATTTATTTACACTTTTTTACCAAAGTCAAAGTCAAATCATTTATTTCAATTAGACCACCTAAAATGGCACTTTTGAACGTCAAACAAAATACAAAGAAGATTCTAGTTGCCCCTTCCAAAAGGTAGTTTCGTGTGGAGAAGAATGGGCAAGAACACATTTACTCTTTTCAAATAGGTTTACCATATTTTGTTTAAATTAGTTAAATAATTATATGTGAAGACAATGTACTCTTAGAATAAAACTACTATACTAAAAATTTTAGTATACATGTTCCTCACATATTTACAAATATCGAAACCATAGAAAATTATCCATTAAAGAGTAATAATAATAATATACCTTATACAAAAACACATATATAATAAAAGCATACAAGCAAAGCCGTTGCCTTATAACTTATGGTTAACATGGTATCGCTAAAAAGCGATTTCTTCCAGGCAACCCTAATATGGAACAATAAAAAAGAAACACCTACAGAGGGAAAATGACAAGAAGTGCATAAATAATTAATTATAAATATATAACAAAATATAAATAAATTAATAAAAAACTCAAAATAACATGTAACTATAATTAAAATAAAATAAAGTACAATCTAAAGAAAAATAACAATAAATAAAATTATGTATAAACAAAAATTTAAATGCTTATCATAAAAGGTTAACTGAGTCACAATTAATAAATATAAGAAGTAGCTAACTATGAGGCAGAAAAAAAATATCCAAAAGAAGATTTTTAAATAAATTTCAAGACTGAGCTCGTCTAATATCAATTGGTAAGGAATTCCATAGCAGGATACTTTGCACAGTAAAGGTGGAATCATAGAATTCATTTTTATGAGTAGGAGTTTCAAGACTTAGATTGTCTAAGGAATGCAAGTCAAAACTACCGCCAGAGAGGAACATACAAATTTGCTTTAATAACTAGGAATTTTAGGATTAAAAAGAACATTATAGAGAAGTTGTAAAATGTGCATCTTTTTGAATGGGTAGCTAATTAAGCTTTCTTCGGAACTCCGAAATATGGTCAAATTTACGAAGTCCAAATATGAATCTGATGCAAACATTTTGTAAGCGCTCTAACATTTTAGTTTCCAAGTTAATCGCGTTATGTCAACCATGCATGACAAACTGAAATATGGTGGATTTTTTACCCTTGGACTAAATGTTAAACTGGTTAGGAAAAAACGGCCACATTTACGACGAAACCGGCATTAGCCCCACGGCTATAAAACGCAATGGAAAAGCGCTGAAAAACCGGACCCTCACACTATTACTAAATATGAGGAACTAGCTAAAATAGTCTATGTGTCTAGAATTATGGTCTTGAATTTTAGCGATTATCTATGAATTGGAATTATATAAAAAATTTAAAAAAAAATAATTCAATGGCGCTACAACGTTTTTAGGTCTGGGCCTCACATTTCTGTATCTGTTTCATGATCATTCGTTAATCTAATAGGCAAGTAGGTGATCAGCCTTATGTGCCTAACGCACGCCCTCGACTTTTTGGGTCTAAGGCATGCCGGTTTCCTCACGATGTTTTCCTTCATATAGCGAATGTTAACATTCGCTCGAACGGTGAAGGATGGACTCGAATGGACTTTATTTCTATGTGCGCATTTAAAAGTCCATTGGTGCACAGTCGGAGATTGAACCTACGACCTCAGGGATGAGAGTCGCACACTGAAGCCACTAGGCCAACACTGCTTTAAAAAGTTTTAAACATACCAGAAAACTGGCAGGTTGCAACTGATAGACGCAGATGGAAGTTCTGGCTCTGGGGTCACCGGTACTATCTACCAACTTCAAATCTCATTGCTATTAATGTACTTTAAAAAGTTCATTAGGCAGGGTTATTGTCGCTTCTGTCAAGGCTTTAAGCCCCTTATGATTTATACCCCTATGGGTATTTCTGACTGTTAGACAGGGAAAGTAAGATCCCTTCTCCGGCTTACCCGATGAAACCTTTCGCGAAACTGGTCTCTGGCAGAATGACCAGCGCTGTGGAACTTTTTGCTCCTCAGCATAATGCTGAGCCAGGGCCAATTGCAACCACAGTACACACACATTGCACACTGGAAGCGAACTGAATGGCAAAAGAAAATTTCTTAATTTGAATTTTTAATTTTATTCTATTTTATTTTATGTTTTCTTTAAGTATTGTTATTTTGTGTGTTTATGTGTGTGTTTTTGTTTGTAATAAATGTTATGTTATGTTATGTAAACCGTGAATATTTGGAATAAAACAAAATTATATGTATGATGCATGACACAGGCCATCATTTGGGTCTAATTACCGATTGCCTCATGATGATTTCCTTACTATACGAGTGCACAGCCGTGGTTCGAACCTACCACCTCAGGGATGAGAAAAGACCTTACTTCGTAAGATCCTCACTGATTATATAACTAGTGTACTGGTAACATTAAAGTACTTAAGCGACATCTTAACAAACCATTTCTCATTACCGGGTTTAGCTGAACATACAAAATAAAATACCGCTTCACTGAATTAACGCTGTAAAAAATTCATTTAGAATTAAACCCGTTATAATTCGGCATAATTTCGTTTACACTTTCTGCAGTTTAAAGTCATACAAAATAAATAGGAAATCATATCTATAACAAGCTTCCATTATTGGTTTCCAAATATGCAGTCAGTGCCAAAACTGTTTATTTCTTGTTATTGTTCCAAGCCATTCTTGGAAACCAGATGTACACTGTTGAGCTTTTAAAAAGAGCGATAGGTTCTATTATTTTATATATAAGGACAGGTAACTCTTAATTTAATGACGCACCAATCAAATGGGGTGATTCCTCTCATGTCTAAAATTTACTTTTAATATTATGAAAGAGCTCAGCTAGAAATTGACAAAAACGTGTTTATAATTTCAATAGTAATATATCAAATCTGACGTAGCCCATTAGTAAATTGGTCTAGTGTTTTCTAATTACGCTTTTAACCTTACCATATTCAAAAGACTTGTATCTCCTCCTAAATAGGTTTTACATATAATAAAGTTTATAACCAATTAGTTCTACAAGTAGTTCAGAAACCAGTTAACCAACCAAATCTGATGGTAGAATAATGTGGAAGAGACTGGGCGCAATTTTTACGCTCCAGTAAAATACTGGTATTAAAATTATAACTGGATAGCCTTCTAAAGAGGAAATACTGCACAAGGCTTAGGCCAAATTGAATACGAAGTGAGAACATTGAAAATAGGAGTGATTTAGATTGTATGAATAATTCAATCTATCTTGGTGGAATGAAGGAGATTCTTTCGCCTTAAATCGCTTATTGCCACGTACTACCATTTTACTGAGCCAGCTACCATTCTAGATATTTTGGAACTGATACCACTCAGTAGCCTTCGAGAGAGAAGTATAGCGTCCTTAAAGGCCAGCAGCCCACTTGCGAATCCCCGTATGTTGTCATGTGTGGCGGTTAGCACTTAATTCTTAGTGAGTTTCAGAAACTTACAAATACGTCAGTAATTTTAGCACCATTTATGTTTAATAAGTTTTATTATAAATAAATATTAATACAAGTGCAATACAGATAAATAAAAACATGTATATGATATTAGTTGTATGAAGTTTACTGTTTGGAGAGAAGTTTATCGTTATCGTTAGT